AATATATATATATATATATATATATATATATATATATAAATTCATTCATTTAAATTAATATTATCATACCATTTATATTGGTTATTTCAAATAATTTATTTATATAAAAATATTTAAATAAAATACATAACGCGTAATTATAAATATATTAAAATACAGTATACATTATAAATTCATTATAATACATTACATTAAAATTTTGTAAAATTTTCAAAATAAGTGGAAACTGTCGATAATAATATGTACTGTTCTACTCTCTATATGTAGATATCGTATAACTGAAATTCTTGAATAGTTTCAATTTTAAAATAAAAGGTAAAATTAATAAAGTAATTTAAAATAGATTAATAAAGAATATATTATATATATATTTAATGAATAGAATATATGATTAATTTATTAAAGAATGCCAAATGTATATGACTAATTTGTTAAACTATTATAATTATGTTTAGCTTATTATTTACTATATTATTTATAATACTAATTTATAACAATAAATATAATAAATAAATATAATATTATGTAAAGTTTTATATTTTGTATAGAATTAATTTAATTATTATCTGATTTTTTTCTCGTATATAAAAAATTTTTTCTCTTTATAACATTGGCAAAATTATTTAAATTATTATTGATCATATGACACTTTATTCCAATATGTAAAATATAAAAGATGTATATATGTTTATATACATCTTAACATATATGTATATATATTTTAATATATTGTATACATAATATATATTTACAGAGACACATAAACTCATTTTTAAGATTAAAATGTTGCAAACGCTTCAAATATTTCTTCAAATAAATTTAATCTTCTATTTAATATTGCGATCTGTTAATGGAAGCAGTATCAAACTTTGGTATAATCCATCGATGTATGTCGCAACTGATAAATTGCAAAGAGAAAAGGCTTTGGCTTTTATTAACGAATTTAGCGAAAATTTAAAAAATATATCTGGTAAATGCATGGATGTAGGTTGTGGTCCTGGAGATATAACAAAAGACATTTTTTTGCCAGCGCTTAATCCAAATGCGGTGGTAATCGGTAAGAAATAATTTATGCAAGAAGCATTAAAATAAATTATTTCTTAAGTTAATAATTAAATTTCATAGAATTATTACTTAATTAAGTCATAATTATGTCATAAAGGTACAGATATTTCGGAAAGTATGATTGAATATGCAAATAAAATGTCTAGTGTGAAGAATCGACTCAAATATGAAATATTAGACATACAAACTAAACAATTACCCAATCAGTACATTTCAGAATTTGATCACATATTTTCAGTGCACACTTTGCATTGGTGCAACGATATTCGGTAAGAAAAATTATTAGATAATTTTTTTGATTTTCTTTATAAGAAATTATATAAATATTTGCGCACGCGCGTATGCAAAATAACATTTATATATATTATTATATATATTATTCTATTATTATATATATTATTATATATATTATTCTTACAATATAATTATCTTAAAAATCTTAAATAATTGTTTATAATATAATAATACTTCTCAAATTTTGTAAAACATTATAAAACAAAATAATCGTTTGATTTTACTGTATTTCGAAATATAAATATTCCAAAATCAAAGCAATATATTTTATTTATTTCAAATGTTAAATAAAAATGTTAAATAAAAATATAAAGTTACAACTTTATATTATATCTAAACATCTAAGATAAATATATATCAAGAAATAATAATTAAAATATGAATAATAGAAAATAAATAAATAAATTGAACTTGTTGGGACAGATCATTAGTTTAATATTAATCAAATATAATATCCAAACCCATAAACATGCTTTGAATTATGTGTTGATTACTATTTGACTTCATAAAGTAACCATTTTTTGAAAATAAGAACTGAAATACAGCCTCATTATATTTTATTGATATTATTAATCAGTTTTATTGTTAATGCTAATTGTTAATGCTAGTATGTCTTATAAAATTTTTATTATTATAAAAATTATTAATTTAGCTGATATGTGTTACTGTCACACATTTATAAAGAAAATTATTATAAAATATATCAAACATAAACCATATTATTCATAAATAAATTTTAATCTTTTTTTTATCAAATAGACAAGCGTTTAAGAATATTTACCGTATGCTCCGATCTAATGGAACAATGCTTGTACTTTTTGTGTCATCACATGACATTTTTAAAATTCTTGACATTATGATACAAGATAAAGATTACGCATCATATATATCGGTAAATATTATTATTTATGTAAATTATTTTATAATTAAAAAAACAAATACTTATTTATTTTTTATGTTTCACTATTTGTTAAATGTTAGGTTTATATTTTTCCACAGGATATAAAAAGATATACCTGGCCATTTCAAAACTCAGTCAATCCTCGTAGTGAATTAAAAGAATTACTCGAAGAAATCGGATTTACAATTATTCATTGCAGTCTTCGAGAGGCATACTTTGTCGACAATTCGGATCAATTTTTATGTAAATATTTTTAAATATAGTATATTGAATATATTAGGTGTACAAAAAAATTCTGAGCTTTTTTTTGTAAAATTCAATTTTTATTTAAAAACGAACAAAAAAATATTAATCAGCGAAATATTCCCCGTTTGCATCAACGACCTTTTGCCATCTTTCGGATAACTTGCGAATTCCTTGACGATAGAAGCTCACCGGCTTCGAAGCGATAAAGTCATCAATGCATTTTCGTATCTCTTTCGTATCTCTTTTCAAATCTCACGAAATGTGTATCAGCCAAATGATGCTGCAGCGACTGGAATAAGTAGTAATCGGAAGGCGCCATGTCTGGGCTATACGCCGCGTGCGGGAGAAGTTCCCAGCCTAACGCAAAGATATGGTCCTGAGTCGCTTTCGCAACAAGTGGTCGAGCATTGTCATGAAGCAAGATCACTTTACGACGTCCTTAGCCAGTAAACGGCCTCTTTTCTTCTAATGCATCGCTCAAATTGGTCAATTGTTGTTGGTAGCGGTCTGCTGTTTCATCTGGTTGTAACAATTCGTAATACAACACACCTTTCCAATCCCACCAGATACAGAGCAAAACCTTCTTGGCGTGGATATTGGCATCGATATCGAAGGTTGACCAGGGAAGGTCAACCCATGATTTTCTACGTTTAGGGTTATCATAAAGAATCCACTTTTCATCGCCTGTAATGATTTTGTGCAGAAAATCTTTTTTTCCGGAACTTTGAAGGCAAAGTGAGTACAGTGTCACGCCGACGATTTTTGTTGTCTTCGGACAATTCATGCGGAATCCATCTGCCTTCCTTCTGAACCTTTCCCATCGTATATAAACGAAATAATTTGCTGCGTAATACCAAGCTGTTCTGCAAGCTCCTTTTCAGTTTGCGCAGAGTTTATATCCAGCAGTGCTTGCAATTCGTCCGTTTTAATCTTTTGAGGGCGTCCAGCACGCGGTTCATCTTCAAGACTGAAATCTCCTTGGCGAAATTTTTGATACCATCTTTTACATGTAGTATGACTTACAACGTTCTCTCCATATGCAGCACAATCATTGCAGTGGCTTCAGCAGCTATTTTTCTTCAGATAAAACGCGAAGTGAATGGAAAATCGAATATGCTTCTTTTGTATTGCCATCGT